CTGGGAAAACCCTTCTCTCCCGTCTGTGGTGCAAATGGCAGCTAAGCTCAGAGGGAAACTGGAGTGGCATGCCTAGCAAAATACATTAAGACCTAGCTGCCTTATTATTTATTTATTTATTCATTCATTTATTTATTTTCTATCCCTCCTTTCTCCTATACAGGATTAGGACAAGGCGAGGCATTTATGCAGTCTCAAGCACTCAACTGCCTGAATAAAAGTACACCAACAATTTTTACCCCAGATTTGACAAACATGATATACCTTCCCAGAAATTGGAGAAAAGGGAGAAAATGGGTCACTTTTAGTACTTTCCAATTTGCTGTATCTATGGCAATATTTCCTCGCTCAGCCATGGAAACTCATTGGAGATGTGGAACTAGTAAAACTACTCCTTCAATATCTCATTTACATCATCATCATCATCATCATCATCATCATCATCATCATCATCATCATAACAAAGAAATTGTTTCTGACTTGACAGCACACAACACACACCTCTGACAGTATTTATTGGATAATTTGGAAACTGGGTAAATTTGTAGACCTCATAAAGAACATCATGGATAGTGAATTTCTGCTTACTAGTGTAAGAAGTGTGATTTTTAGAATTTTGAGACTTACCGTATACTGGCGGAATCTATTTTCAATTCACTATAACTAGAGTGAGACCCTTTTTAAAAGATTTGCTTTTGATATTTTTGCTCACTCTGTTAGAATTTTGATAGTTCCCTTGTATACCACTCATTTAAAAGAAAACACAGAAGAGCTTGCAGGCATTATTAATAAACACATACACATGGTTTTGACTGTATCTGGAGGTATTTAAACTTTGTTTGAGTTGATGTCTTGTCTTCCCTGACAAAGATGGTGCAGGATACTGCCATCAAAAGCTTGTACTATTTTAACCATAAACATGAATTGACATGACTGGGAACCTGTGAGCTGTTTACAGAAGGTGTTCATCATGAAAGACTGAGATCTCTAATTACACATAAAATGTTAACCACATACGTGCAAGGAAGGGGGTCATGTATCTTTATTATCTGCTATGATAATTATTGTCGGTCATGTATTATGGAATGCCTGCTGAAATGACATAATCTAATGTCATAACAAGTGAGGTATTCTGCCATGAATGTATGTTCATTTAATTGGATGACATTATTAATCAGAGAAGAGACTTTGTTTAAAATATAAAAGTTAAAAAAAAGAGGAGACTTCTACTTTTCTTTTTGGGTTCTTTTGTCAGTTCCTAAATGACAGTCTCTTAAAATACAAAGGATTCATTTAAACGAAAGAGGATTTGGTGAAAATGTTGTGTTTCCCTGTTTCATTAAACTTATTCTTCATCCCTTGCCTATCATCTGGGGACATCTTCTGGCAATCACATTATGAAAGCTACTAACAGTGGCTAATTGGAACATCCAAGAGTGGGAGAGCTAGGATTTTGAAGGTATAAAGGGCCTGGATTGGTTGGAAATCAGTGAGGAAGAGTCCTGCTCATTCCTTGCTTCATCAGCATCCTTGTGTAATCTGTGCTGCCCACTCCCAATATGCATGGTGAAAACTATTGGGAGTAAAGAGAGAAGGCACAGTTTCTGCCTTGTATCATTTTAGCACTTTACTTTTGCTCTTCACTCCTTAGAAGAGCTTTGATCACATTTCTCTTAGATTTAACAGGAACAGCATCAATTTGCTGATACACAATCCTTGTTCAGAATCTGTGAAACATCCCAATTTTCATGGCCAGGACTTCTCAAGGCATTTGTGCTTTTAAGGAATAAAGGTTTCAGAGTGCTTCTTCTACTACAGCAGAAAATCTTATCATGTTGTAATAGCTGCAAAGAATAAAGAATTAAGGCTCGGACTGAGTGTTGTACAGAATCCAGAAACCTGACTTGCCATGGAAACATTTAGAGAAAGGGAACCCAGGGATGCTGTATGCACCTGCAGATGACTGGAATGTCACCCCTTAATGTCCTACTATTCCCAGGGAGCAACAGAAATTCCTGCTATCGCTAATGAAATACCGAAATAGGGATTCCCTCACAAATGCTGTTATCTTTTGAATTCTGATCAAAGAGTTCCACCCTCAGTACCTGTGAGTATTCATACTCATGATGAAATTGTTCCAAGACCTAAATGAGACCCAGTCTTGAACTCAACTAACTTCTCCCAAGCGATCTGGGTGGGATCAGAGAGCTTCTTCATCCCCATCTGAGGACACGGAAAAGAGAGGGAAGCTTGGTCTTGAGTGGAAGGCAGCTGAGGGAAGATTTCTGCCAGGGACCTGACAAAAAGTAACTTCTTGCAAGAAAGCTATACATAAGACGCACCTGATGAAGAAAGAGAGGCTGGAGAGAGAAAAGGGATGGGGGACCCATGACAATGTATGTATCATATGACCATCTGCCTACAACTAGCCTAGAGTGAATGGATATATATTTCTTTTTTAAAAAAACAACAACCTGTAAATGTAATTAATTGAATATGTAACAGAACTACCAGCTCCAACCTCTCAACCAGCAGACTTGTTTTGCTGTAGTCTTTCTCAACCATTAGAAATGTGTGTGGGTGGTTTCTTAACCTTTTAAAATGCCCCCTTAAACCTCCCTCCTTCAGTTGTTTATGCATTTTAATCTGAAATACTGGTACTCTGATCGGGGAGGCTGGTAAAGGGGCGGATCAACGTTGCTCTCACCACGTTGACTCTAACATGACCACTAGATTTCTGGTGCAGGGAGTATGGGGACTGTCAGATTTGATGGGGTCAACTTTAATCCACACACAACTAACTGTATTCTATAATGAAGAAAGCTAAAGGAAATGAAATAAGTGCACTTCTGAGGCAATTAACCATATATTAACAAAGCAGTAGACATACCGTATTTTTCGCTCCATAAGACGCACCTTTCCATAAGATGCACCATTTTTTTTAGGAGAAGAAAACAGGTAAACACTGTATTCTATAATGAAGAAAGCTAAAGGAACTAAAATAAGTGCACTTCTGAGGCAATTAACCATATATTAACAAAGCAGTAGACATAATTCTTTCCCACATTTTTCCAAATAAAACAGTACTAAGGATGTTTTTTTCCAAAACAACGCACACCTTCCCTTAAATCATTGTGATTTAGCCTCCAAGTGGCAGCACATACTACTGTTTGAGAACCACCACTTTGCTATCATTATGCAAACATGTGCCTCTTTATGCCACATGCAATTCTTTCATATATCAAGCTTAATATAATACACAATACAATATCATGAAAAACTCTTTGCCAACAGTCAGTTCCGTACAAAGTGCAGAGTAATGCTCATCACATAATACAGTAGGACTACCTTATCCATGGCACCAGTACTCACAGTTTCATTTACCCGCTGCCTGAAAAAATTAAATTAAAAAATATATCCAGAAATACATTTTTCCAAGATGTATTACCAGAATTGGCCACAGGAGGGAACCAGAGACTATGCTATATAAAGCATTTCCATACCTGAATTTTAGAGCATGAGGGAGGTGGCAGCAGCTTGGAACTGATGTTCCAACACTGATGTTCCAACCATATTTGGTTTCTCCCTTAGTTACAATGTTAACTCTATCCACTGCTAACTAATTCTACCTCTTTTGATCATTACAGGAGGGAACCAGAGACTATGCTATATAAAGCATTTCCATACCTGAATTTTAGAGCATGAGGGAGGTGGCAGCAGCTTGGAACTGATGTTCCAACAATATTGGGCCCCTCACCATATTTGGTTTCTCCCTTAGTTAAACAATGTTAACTCTATCCACTGTTAACTAATTCTACCTCTTTTGATCATCAAATAATGTCATTTCTTGTTTTAAAATGTAAATTTATGGTATTTAATGTATAAAATCATTCATGAACATCTGCCTAGAAATAGGAGTAGTAGAAATACAGTGGTGCCTCGCTAGACAGTTACCCCGCATGACAGTTTTTTCGCTAGACATTGACTTTTTGCAATTGCTATAGCGATTCGCAACAGTGATTCCTATGGGGGAATTTCACTGGACAATGTTTGGTTCCTGCTTCGCAAACCGATTTTCACTAGACTATGATTTTGACAGCTTCCTCCGCGCTCACAAAACAGGTGTTTTCAGGACCTAAGCTTCACAAGACAGCAATTTAAACAGCTGATCGGTAGTTCGCAAAGCGGCTTTCCTATGGCCGATCTTCGCTAGACAATGACGATTCTTCCCCATTGGAAGGCATTAAACAGGTTTCAATGCATTCCAATGGGGAAATGATTTCGCTAAACAATGATTTTGCTAAACAACAATTTTAGTGGAACGGATTATCATCGTCTAGTGAGGTACCACTGTACTTTCTGAAAGTAGGAATGCTTTCAGGGTGGGGAAAAAGGAGGCAAAGGCTTCTTCTCATCTTCCTATTAAACAGAAGGCATTAAACAGGTTTCAATGCATTCCAATGGGGAAATGCTTTTCGCTAAACAATGATTTCGTTAAACAGCGATTTTAGTGGAATGGATTATCATCATCTAGCGAGGTACCACGGCACTTTCTGAAAGTAGGAATACTTTCAGGGTGGGGAAAAAGGAGGCAAAGCCTTCTTCTCACCTTCCAATTAAACTGTTTCACATTGATGCACTAAGGCAAGGGATATCCCAGGAGATGGCCCCACCTCCTACTTTCATATGACTACTGTTCCCATTTCTAGTTTCTATATATTGAGTCGAACACATGAAAGGGAAAGCCTTACATTGGGCCTGTAAGTGTGACAGAAATGCCCTGTCACATAAAAGTGTGTTGATGTCCCATTTCCCTGTTTCCTGAAGCAGGATACATTGCACAAATCTGCTTCTACCATTAAGCCTTATGCCTACCTTGCTGGATCTCCCCTCTTTTCCATATGCTTGTCCAAGTATTTAACATAAGGTATATGAACTCTGTGCTCTTTGTGTGCTAACTGTGATGGCAACAATCAGAAGATTCTTGCATATCATCTTACTTTGAAGTTTAGTCGGGAAACCACCACATCTCCGTTGGGGGTAATAATAGGAACGTTTTCACAGATAATCCCATGATCAACATCTATCACTCTTCCTAAAAGTGGGGGGGAAACAAACAAACCATAAGGGCACTTGTTAGCAGAGAATACATACACACAAGAGCACACATACACAAAATGCACAGAAATGCGCAGATAGAACATTGTTTATCCTAGGAGACCTGTTCACATATATCTTTCCATTATCAATATTAACTGCTTCGATTGCAAAATACTGTGTTTCAAGTGACGGTAGAAAATATGAAAACATGTGTTTTTGTTTCTTGGTTTATGGCTACTTTTAATTGCTCTTAACAACTTCAATCATATGCCAATCATATAACCACAAATATGTTGTCTTATGTTGATGTTTACTCTAAATATTTGGTACCAACTCTAAATAAATAAAGGTGCAATGTATATTAATCAAGAGCAGATCATGGCAGCATGATGTATAGCATTTGCGGGGGGACACTCTGATTTCTGGAATTTCCTCCTCCAGGAGGCACTTATAATTCTTAGGAGGTCTAAAGTTGGCTTTAACTTTATTGTCATTCTGGCATGAGGCAAAGATTTTCCCTAGACATTTAAGAGCAGATGACAGGCCATTAATATCACTGCATTTTCTGTTGTGTTTTTCTGCTGACTGCTTTCTTGTATATTTATTGCATTTTTATGCTAGTTGTCTAATATTACTACTACCTGCTCTGGGATTCAAACCGGCATGAGGCAAAGATTTTCCCTAGATATTTAATATTGATGACAGGCCATTAATATCACTGCATTTTCTGTTGTTTTTTGATCTGACTGTTTTCTTGTATGTTTATTTATTGCATTTTTATGCTAGTTGTTTAATATTACTACTCCCTGCTCTGGGACTCAAACCTAGAGAATACTACCATGGCGATATAGAAACTAATGCCAATAATACAAGTGACAACCAATCTCTCAATTATCATTCACTTCATATATACACGTTTCTTTCCAAGACCTACATGCACAGAATGCTATATTTTTTTAATTTTCATTATTCTAAAAATACTTATAGGGGGGATTTATAAGCTGGATAGTTTCAGTTTCCCAAACATAGTAATGAAGGATATCTCATTCCAAAGATTTGTGAGGAAGTCTGTAAGATCATCCGGAGGGCAGGAACATGGAAGAAATCAATTCAACCATTTTTGTGACCAAGAAATTCTAAACAAAGGAACCCAGATTCTACGTATAACTGGGCACAAGTGAGAATTTGATGGGTTCACATTTAATGCTAATTAACTAAATGTGCACTTTGTGAAGCTTCACCAACATCTGCAGCCATATAGAAACACTCTAATTTTTCTGAATGCAGTTTGAAAGTACAAAAATGTGCACAAAAATCAGTAGCAACTGGAAAAATATACACAAAAATGCACACAATAGGGAAAATGTGCACACAATATACGGTGTCAATTATTCATTAATAATCTATGAGAAAATTATTAAGGGCCTAGGGTGCTTATTGTACAAAGGAACACCTACAAGATAAATGCCACCAAAACCAAAATTTTGGGTTTTTTTGGGAAAAGGAGGAAGAAATACAGATGGCAGCTGAACCGGAAATTGCTCAAACAGACCAACTCATCCAAATACCTTGGAGTGACATTTTAAAGTATAGGACCATGGTCAGATCACTCAGAATCTGTAGCTCTGCCAGCTGAGGTATCCACCAAGGTTATTTATTGTTTCTCTTCTGGACCAGGTGGAAAAATTGTGGTGCC